TCGAGTTAATTAATTTACAAACATTTCAAACCTACCTCTGAAGATCCTGTGTCGGTCCCGTCTGGATTCGCATTCTTTGATGCAATCTGTTTTTAAAGTTTTATTACAGGAAATGAGCAACGCACAGGTAATCTAAGCAAACCCATAACTGTTGTTTTTGACGCCTATCTACGTGAATCGCTTGATTTAGAGGCCTCCAGCGCTTGCGCTATGATGAAGTCAGTAGGAAGCAAATGATGAAGTTGTACATTTGATGAGCGTACTTTTTCTCGCAAGATAGGCCATATATGGGTAGGAAATGCATACTGCCTTAGCATTAAACGCTTTAAGTGGACTTCAGGGCTGAAGGAAATGGAATGAATGAAAGTGTTTATGCCCTTGCCGCTGGTGTGTATCTGGGTCGCAGATAGCAGCTGTGGCCGTCCTTGAGTGTTGTTGCAGAAAATAACCCACTTCAAGGCACCTAAATCGGCAGCGTTCTGCTGTGTAATTTCGCACAGTGACAATTATTTTCTGCCTGGGTAAAACGTTTGTATCATCAGATGACTAGGTGAGTTGTTGTTGCTGTTGTTTTTGAACCCCAAGGGAAATAAAATGAAGTGGAACGTGCACCCGCCGTGGGAGCCATAGATTCTGTCATCTAGACTAACAGTACTTGTGGCATCCCATACAACTGAAATATCGCGCATAAAAGATTGTTGCATTTCCAAAAATGACTTCCACCTACCCATTTTCACCCGAAGTATTGGGAACTTGGCTGCTTCCCACAGTACCCCTAAAATGGAGAAATACTTATCTGACTGTAGTGTTAAATGGCAACACCATGCTAGAAGGCAAAGTAAAGGCGTCCATCAACAAAATTACTAAGTGATGGGTCTCAATAGATTCTAATCGGTACATCTGTTAGTCTAATCTCCTCCCATTGAGAGTTTCCACTTCGGAGTATCTGTTTACTTCTTCACAAATGATCGTCTGCCTTTCAAGCAGTTGCGGCATTTGTTAAATTTTTCGGGTCCTACTTGTGACAAATAGTCAAATGACGACAAATGTGAACAAACGGTCCCTCACCTTTTGTCTGCCATGAGAACTATTAGGCGAGTATTTTTTTTTGTTTTGTATTTGTGTGAGAAAGGAAGACTTAAAGTTTAAGTTCTCTTATTCATTGTGAAAGTTTCAAATGTTTATTTCTGGATGTGGAAACACATTTACTGGGTATCGAACGCGGTTAGCATTTCATAGGCGGAGCCGCTGTTTTATTGCAAGTTACATGAATTCCATTTTCCTTTATGGCCGGCTTTAGTTATGCTAATTATCGCTTAAAGTATGAAATAATGAGGCTTCAAAGTTTTCGGTACATCAGAGGAATCACAGATTTTGTATCATTCGTTACCCACCACGACAACTCTTCAAATAAAGACCGATTACGTAATCAAAATCTTTCATTTGTGATTTGGTGAAAAATGACATTGTGTTTTCTTAATACTTCTTACAGCATTTCGAATCCCAACAATTATAGTATTACCAAATTCACTCCACCTTGTTGATAAGACACGCCCATCTCCACTATATCAAGTCACAGCACAGGTTTGCCCCTGCAACTATCAACTATTGGTCAACAGGAGAAGAAAGCAGCCACCATTACACCTTTTCACTTACACATGTTAGTGTATAAAGCTTTCGATAATGCTACGAGTTAGCACATTAGCGAATGTAGACCAGGTGTAAATACTCGGATTTAGTGCTCCTGGTGCATAAACCTACCATTTACTGTTCGCTAGGAAGTTGGAAGCCAGTTGTGAAGTGATATCGGGGATAAACCTGCCGTTTTTAAAAATAAATCTGATAATTCCTCGAGAGATCTACACCCTTTTAAGAGGGTGCACTGCTCTTTTAACAACTTTGAATGCAATCCATTCACTTCTGGAATAGGAGTGAAATTATGGAGCACTGCAAGGCTGTCGGCAAGTGGTTTTTGGAAAGGATCAAGAAAGTATCAGCAGTCGTATGGTTCAAATACTTCCTACTCATGTTAACAGCCAAATATCCAACCTCGCAAGACAAAACTGCCACAATAATCAACTTCCAGTTCCAGTGTCAAGACCTTTA